GCAACTGGCTAGACTACTTCGGACAATCCAATATTCCAAGCAGGACCCGTATCCGGTTATCTTAATAGATATAATTTAAATTAAAAGCAACGGGGGAGAGAATCTGGTTAGCTTGGGAGCCGCTTCATTAAAGCGAGTAGCAGAGGAAGATTCCCCGGCTCTTAACCTGCTTTATCACTTTTAGGGATGGGATTAATTGTGAATTTAGAGACGTAGAATTGAAACCAAGACATTCCTTCCTTAGCCCCCCCCCCCACAATTACATTCTTTTGCGACGAATGTCGCTTTTTAGATTAGATATTCCGTTGATTTGCACTCAATTTTAGGCCAATTATGCTACTTTTGAAACCATAAAGAAAGTTGCATCGTTGGATTCATACTAAAACCATCTTTTAGTAAATTAAAATAATAAAATGTTGTTTTCATAAATAAATTATTCATGGGATATGCTTCTGTTAATCGCGTAGGATCGTTATATATTTTTTCACAGAAATGTTACTCGGAAAAAGGAAGATGGAATTCTTATCTTAGGTAATTAATGCTGCCCTTAGCTTCTTTCTTATCGTACACTTGTCTAATACCCAATTATACGAAGTATGAATTTCTCAACTAGTATGAAAAAAATAACATAACATTAAAAGCATTTATTTTTATTTAAATATATTTAAATTTATAACTTTCAGATATTGTATAATAATATCAATCAGGTTAAACACAAATTAGTTGAAATCTAAACTTTTGTTTCTTTTCTTTTATAAAGTAAGAGAAGAATCAAAGGTTAGTAGGGTTACTAGCAATAAAAAGTGACAAAAGAAAATCAAAAGTACAGAAACAGTAGTAAGAAGAATCATCTTTTGTATTAGGCGATTTAGAATATCGTACGCAGGCTAAGCACATGATCCCTTTGCTGTCAGACCACCTTCATTATCTTCTCTCTTTCATATATATATATATATATATATATATATATATATATATATATATATATATATATTCTTTAACCTTTTTTTTTTGCAAGAAATTACCATGCTCCTTTGCTTTTTCATCCTCTTCCCTTTATTTAGCTTACTTTATTCCCCCCTTGAACTCACCCCTAAAGGAGACGATCCTCCTTGTGTTCACAGCACAACATAACTTCCCTTTCTCTCAAAGCAAAGCCAAACCTACTGCTCTCTTGGTCCCGTCTTTGTTTTGTTTTGTTTTGTTTGTTTCTGCGTACAAACAGATCTTATTGTTTGTTGCTATTATGGCATGACTGGTGTCGTTCCAAACAACAACTTTTCCTGAGAAAACAAAAGGAAAAATATATGTTTCTCGTTGTTTTATAAAACCCTAAAGAAGAGCGGAGAGAAAAATATGGCATCGCCTTGTGGACTGACCCTTGACTGCAAACCTCACAGCTATTCTATGCTGTTGAAATCATTTGGGGATCGGCATAATATTGATCAAACCCAGAAGCTTGAAGATTTCCTTTACCGTCTCGAGGAAGAACGCCTTAAGATCGATGCTTTCAAGCGTGAGCTTCCCCTTTGCATGCAACTTCTCACCAATGGTGCGTATCAGAACATTTAATTTTTTTTTTCTCTTTAAAGGATTCATCTTCAATAAACACAAAAAATAGAAAAGGGTTTACTATTTATGTTTAGGATATTGATACTGTTTTTATAAAAGGGGAGTTATAATAGAATCATCATCACCTTAAGATCCAAATGACAATAAAGAAATTAATATATATATATATATTTTCCTAGCTACTGGTGGATATTCATATTCTTTCGGCTAAGGGGTTGGTTTCCAGGTTCCTGCCTCTTTGATTTATAGAAGTTAGAGCTCGCTTTCTATTTGTTAGTCTAATATCTTCGAATTTAAAGGTTCCCGACATTTGCATACATTTTCAAAAGAACTAAAGCATTTGTTAATACTGTTCTTTGGTTCAGCTGTGGAGGCTTCAAGGCAGCAACTACACGCATGCCGAGAGAATCAAGGATCAAGGCCAGTTCTTGAAGAATTCATACCAATCACAAACTCAAGCTCCGAGAATTCAGACAAATCACAAAACATATCGGACAAAGCAAACTGGATGACGAGCGCGCAGCTATGGAGCCAAGCGGGAAACGAAACTAAACCGCTGTCCACAGTCACGTCCCCTAAAGAAACTGATACCGGTTTCAGTGTTAGTCCCAAGTTGGCCTTAGACACCAAGCAGAGAAATGGAGGAGCTTTCCTTCCGTTCTCCAAACACCGAAACTCGAGCCCCGGTTCCAATCTTCCGGAGCTAGCTCTCGCCTCCGTCAATAAAGATATGGAAGACAAGAAGTGCTTGGAAAGAACTGAAAATGATAGTCAACTGAGAGACAACTCCGGTGAAGTTGGGAACGGAGGAGCTTTGGTTGAGCAAGGCAAAGGAACCAGCTGTGATGCAGCTGACGGACAAACAAGCAACAGTAATAACGCTAGTACAAATGGTAGTCAAACTCATAGGAAGACTAGGCGGTGCTGGTCACCTGATTTGCATAGGAGATTTGTCAATGCTCTCCAGATGCTTGGTGGTTCTCAAGGTATCAGTAAAGTTTTCGCCTTTTTTTTCCCCTCTTTGTTTGAGTTGGTGAAATTAATAGAATTGCATTGAAATCAAGCTATGATTACCAAAATCATTGGTTCTGATCTGAGAATGTCGTGGTGATGATTACATTCAGTTGCCACTCCGAAACAAATAAGGGAGCTGATGAAGGTTGACGGTTTGACCAATGATGAAGTGAAAAGCCATCTACAGGTAACTGAGACATGCAAGAAAGAGCTTTTGTACTAACACAGTACAATACTGCACAAATTAACTGATAAGTTCCAAAATCCTTCACTCAGTTAACGATTTTTTGTTTTACATCTTTTTATACAGAAATATAGGTTGCATACGAGGAGACCAAACCCAAGTCCGCAAGCACCGGGAGCCCCAACACCGCAGCTTGTAGTCCTAGGTGGCATCTGGGTTCCACCAGACTATGCTACTGCCGCAGCAGCCGCTCACGGTGGTGCTCCCACTCTTTATGGCGCTCACCACCCGGTTGCTTCCCATGCACCTCCTCACTTTTGTCCATCACCTGTGCCCCAGGAATTCTACACTACGGCGGCCGCTGCACCGCCACACCTTCCGGCAAGACAGAACCATAATTAAATATTGTCAGAAACTGAAATATTGGACAATTTAAAAAAATATAAAGACTTATTATATATTTAAACTCAAAATTCAACATGAATTAAGCAACCTTAGTGATTAACGGATTATTGTTATCCTTAAGGTCTCGAGTTCAAGTACTAGAAGATACGAGCGTTTATTGTTAAATAGTTGAGAGTCTTTATACATATATTATTTTGTATTCATCTTAGATTTATTAAAAAACTCAAAATTCACAAGATAACACTTAATTTGTGTAATATTAAGACTTACAATGACCTAAATTATTATTAGACCAAAATTTTTGAGAACATGAGATTATCCTTCTTTAGTTTGGTCCTACTTGATTAAATATTTAATATTTTTTATATTTTTAATTTAAATATTTATTTTTATATGAATAAAAATACTATCATATCAAAATTATATCAAATATATAAATTTAACCGGGGGCCCTCACTATGCTCTGCCCTGCCCTCCAGCATCAACTCCACTTGTACAAGGACACCTCACAGGCCCATAGCCTACCGGAGCCTGACATGAGGGGAGGCGGAGACCGGTCCGAGAGCATTGAAGATGGGAAATCTGAGAGCAGCAGCTGGAAAGGTGAGAACGGAGACAACGGTGGAGATCAAAGAAAAGGGTTAGCTGCTCTGAGAGAGGAAGGTGAGGAAAGCAATGGAAGCGAGATCACTCTCAAATTCCAACAGTTTTAAGGTTTAGGGTTAATTAGCTCTGGGGTATCCATGTAATTCTCTGCATAATCATATGCTATTAATTTGAAAAGAAACAAAACATTATGTGAAATATGGAGGGAGGGTAAAAAGGGCGTAAGGAAAAGTGAAAGTTTGTTTTGTTGTTTCCATATGTGCTTGAATTGTCGATTCGGGAAAAGATTGAACAATGGATTATTTGTTTTCGGCGTTTTCTATTCTTTTGGTCTTTATGCTTTTGTTGGCAGATTTGCCCTCGTCTCTTCTTAGAGAAGGCCAAATATTGAAGGGTCAAGGCGTCAAGCTCAAATTGTTCTTATTGTTTCATAAATTAAAAAAATTGGAGTTAGATTAATATTTCAATAAAATATAAATTATATCAATATGTGTAGTTAATAAGATAAATTTTATAAAAGTAATCTTAAATTCAAAGCAAAAATGATTAGATTGATATAAAAAAATTAAAAAGTACATATTTTATAATAGCTTCAAAAAATAATACCAAACAACGTAACACTTGTTAAAAACAACTTTTAAGAGTGTGAATATTTTTTCAACGATTAATCATTATTGCTGGATATATAACTGATTTTAGTTCCACTTTGGGGAGAACATTCTGATTGACTCGTAATGCAATGATAAAAATCTATCATTAAACAAAATTAGTATAAACCAAATTTTAAATTCAATCTTAAATAATTCTTCTTTTTATTATAAAAAAAAAATCAATTGGATCAGTTATTCAATTTCGATTAACTGCATACTCGAATAATTTAGATTATGTGAACTATATGTAATATTACATATAATAATTCTATAAAGATGTTCTTAGAGGTCACGTGTTCGAGCATCAACGATTACAGCAGGGTGATTGAGCGTTTATTGTCACGTAATTGAGAGTATTTAGAATATATACTATTTTGTAATCACCTTAGCTTAATAAAAAAAATATCCGCCGAAAAGCGTTTTTCCAAGGACTAAACTAACGGAGGCAATACGCTTATGGGGGTTGGACAAGAGGCTCCAAGCTTCAAGGTCAATAAAAACAGCCTGCTTTAACTCTTAACCAAACAAACAAACACTCTATTTAGAATTCGCGTCATCCAATGATATGATATTACATTCCCAAAGAACACTAAAGCATAACAACATTCTGTAATTTATCAGTATATACATCAAAAGTACTCATGCTATATCTCTACATAAAGATTAAGTAGTCCAATCAAAAGGTGATAAGTCAGATGATTAATGAACCACAAACACAAATCATGCAATCCCGTTCACCAAACTGCCGTCCCGTATACCCACATCATCTTCACACTCTACCATTGCTGAATCAACAAGGGACTGCGAGGTAAAGTCTAGAGTTAATATAACGAGTGCTACTGTTTCTCCCATGAATGATTCTTTAAAGAGCTTTAATCTTCGGTACTCGAGGCTGAGACCCTAGTTCGTCTCATCATCATTTGGAAACTCGCCATAAATAACTATTGAGCTACCTTTGGTTCAATACCTAAAACATATAACTATGATCTATTTCCGCCATGAAAGCACCACATAATAAAAGGCTAGAAGCATCAATTGTATGCAACGCGAGTCTCATTTTGCGTATAGCATGGAATTCTTATCTTAGAAATGAAACAAAACTTGGAGAACCAAAACAATGATGCATATGATCAACAATGACATGGATTATGTGCTTAACAACACAGCCGTAAATTCAAACGCACGTGTCTTTGGCTCCATAGCATGCTTTCAACAAGACAATAGAACAAATATCAGCTAAATGCACACTGTTTCCTTTCAACTTGGGAAGAATTGGTGCCTCATTCAACTATTTGGACCTTTATTCCTTATGTAGTTTTATGGAGAATTTGGAAATGCAGGAATGCCATTGTCTTCGAAATGGGTGTGTTCGACCCGGTTCAATTATTCTTCACAGCGAGGTTCAGATTAGCATCTTGGTTCTTAGCTAAATTCACTAACATTTCCATCTCGAAGGACTCCCTCATTAGTGATCCCTCCCTTGGAGATCTATGTTTTGTTCCAAAAAACCAGATAACAAAACAGATTTCTTGGTCCCCTCCCCCTATGGGATTTCTAAAGTTGAATGTGGATGCTGCTGTCAAAGGTGATTGGAAGGCAAGTGGTTTAGGCGGGATCCTAAGAGATGAGTTTGGCACGGCGCTAGGATCTTTTCAAGAAGCTGCTGGTCCGGGTCCTCCTTTAATGGAATTAAAGGCCATTAAACGGGGTTTAATTTTCTTTGAATCTTCTTGCTGGTGTTCTAAGAAACGGTTGATTATTGAGAGTGATAGTAAGTTATATGTGGAGTGGATTAAGAATTTGGATAAATGCCCAAGTTAGTATGTTTCTATCTCTAAAGAAATTGCTGATAAGATAAGAAACTTGGAGGGCATCATTCATTGGGTAGCTAGGCCAGAAAACTTAGAGGCAGATGTTTTAGCAAAGTCTGGAATTGGCTAAGATAGGGAATTTGTGGTTGGTTTTTTTTTTTTCTTTTTGAGTTCGGGTTTATCTATTGTATGTGGGGGGGGGGGGGGTAAGCTTGGTTGTAATCACATGAATTGTACTAATCTTTTAGCAATAAAATTTGAGGCACTCTTTTCCTCCTTCCGCTGATTATGGAACATCTTAAGGTGTTCTAGTAATCACGAAGGGGTTTTTTAACGAGGCCTCCACTTCTTATCCAAAAAAAAATGAACAGACTGAAGATACTGACCTGAAGTTCCAGTTCATAGCCTTTAAGTTTGTCCCTATACTCCTTTACTTGCATGAAACACTTATGCAGCTGCAGGTCATTCATTTTAAGTTAATGTTGCATACCAAAAAGAAAAGGTTAAAGTTTACTCGCACCATATTGCAGCAGTGTATCTCAGAGAATTACCTTGGCTAAATGCATTTTGTGACGTGAATAAAGCTTCTTTGCAGCAACCAATGCATCTTCCAGTGTCTGTATGTATGTATGTATAAACTTCTTTGAGACAAAATGTACAAGGCCAAATAAAATACATCAGGTTTCATTAAGATACCTTGGATTACTCATCTATTCCTACTTCACAATAGACCACATGTATGTCTTTCTTTGAGTCTTGGAGGGAAAGGGGATAAAACTGATCCTAAAGAACAAAGGGTGGTTGGACTCCGTAAAAACACCTTGGATAGTGATATTCTCACTTTAGTGATTGCAATGGTAATGTTAACACAAGCGTGCATATGCAAACATAAATAATGCATTAGGCTACACCTAAATGCTATAATATCCATCTTCCTAAACCAAATTTCCTCAAAAAATCAATACAAAATTTCAAAGATGCAGCAGATCTCTGTTTTAAGTTCTTCTCGGCTTTGAATTGATTTTTCCAGTTCTTTTTTCATCTGAAAACAAAACATAATTAGTAAAAGGAAAAAGTGAAAACACAAACAAGCATCAAAACAAAGTTAAGGTTACCTGATTGTAGTCATCAGTTGACAGTTCTCTGCCGTGATCATTGCTCGTAGAACTGCAAAATTGAAAATTAGTTTAAAAGACTTCTCGTGATAATACACACACAGATATAAAACTAGAAACATTGCTAAAACCGAAGTGATTAATCTAAGGAAAATAAATTGAAGCTCATCAGTCAGCTCATAAAGAAGAATTAACAGAATCAACATATTATGAAGAACAGGAAGACCTTAGAATGAAAGCCATCAATATATTACGAGGAACAGGAGGACCTTAGACTGAAAGCCATCAATATATTATGAGGAACAGGAAGACCTTAGACTGAAATCAATCAACATATTATGAGGAACAGGAAGACCTTAGACTGAAAGCCATCGACATATTATGAGAAACAGGAAGACCTTAGACTGAAATTCATCAACATATTATGAGGAACAGGAAGACCTTAGACTGAAAGCCATCAACATATTATAAGGAACAGGAAGACCTTAGACCGAAAGCCATCAACACAAGAAAGAATATAGCAACAGTTCATGCAAATGAAGTACAATAGAATTAATATCAACATTGTGAAGGACTCCATTACTTAAAATATATTGTGAGCAAAAAAAAAAAACATTAAGCAACCAACTGGGGCGTTACCCATTCCGTCTCTTTACTCGTTGCTCCTTGTCCTCATCAACACTTCTATGATAACCGTTCGTTCCAGCCGGTTCGCTATCTTCATCCAAATTCAGCTCATGATCCCTATCCCAATCCTGATTATAGTTCCTGCTCTCTCCATGCATATGATCCTCCACATCTCTATTGTGATCTCTATCCATTGAGTATTCCCCAGCTCTATCATGTTCGTGTCGCTCATATCCTCTTTCTCTTCCAGAATCATGGCCCCGAGACCAATCCCGCTCCCTGGACCTATCACTGAATCGATCACGATACCTTTCTCTATCAAGATCATGATCTCTTTCTCTGTCCTGTCCCTCATCCCACTCACTCTGTCTAGGGCGGTCACGACTAAAATTTGATCTGCCCCTCTGGTGGTCACTTCATTAACTCTCACAACTCGGCCATCAATATTCTAGTTATAATTTCATGTTTCAATAATGTCAGAATTCTACAAGTTTCAAAACAAGAACAGAATCATTTCATGATCCATGAAAAAACAAGCAATGCATACCCTGCCGTTCATATCGTTGATGGCATCATAAGCTGAACGAGGATTTGTAAAAGTAACAAAGCCGTAGCATTATCCTCTAGTTGTGTGATCATTAACAATCTGCGGACCACCCACATTGTGAAACTTCGATTTCTCAGGAAACCCTAACGCCAAACATTATTAAAATTCTAGAAACAATGAGTAAAACAACAGACAATAATTTCATCGCCGGTAAGTTTTATCCGCTATCCCCAAATTAATTCCGAAAAAACACTAATAACTGATTTTTTTTAAATAACTGTAAAAGTACTAAAGATTTTCGAGAACCAATCGTACTGCTAAACTCTTTGAAAACAAAAATCGAAGAACTTAGAAAAAGAAATTGAAACCCTGAATGCATAAAAGAAAGTAAATAAACGGCGGGGACGAAGAGTAATTGTGCGTAGGTGAAAGTCAACGGAAAGAGGAAGACCTTAATGGCGACGACAGCACCGTAGACGCTGAAGACGTGGCGAATGGAGCTTTCGGTGGCGTCGTAGGGAAGTCCTCCCACGTACACCGAACTTTCGCCGTTGATCGTCATTTCCCAACTTTCACTTGAGACAAAAGCTTCAATTTTCAAAATTTAAGGGTCTAAAATTGGAAAATGAATCCTTTTTTTACTTTTAGAATATCACTTGGGAGCTAAAACGAGTTATACTTCTGTATACCATGGGAAGATATCTTTATGGTTGTTTTCGTTGGAATTGTTTTGAATAATACGTGGTAAATACATAGAATTATTTATTTAAAGATAATTTTTAACTTTTAAATATTGATCATTCACACTTTTTGATATCTATGGTACTCGAATTTGAATCGTCAAATAATAATAATAATTTTTTTATCATAAAAGTCATTTTAATTCGTACTTTTCTTTGGAATTATTAATATACTACAAATATTTTTAAAATATTTAAATTTCTCTTGCCCGTGTTATGAACTCTCTACTCAATCTGATCAGTATTTAATTTTATTTAAATGTTTTAATTATTAACTTTATCAAATATTTTGATGATAACTTTAATACAAACCCAATTCAAAATAAAATAGTATATGAATCCAGGCCCATACACAATTTTTAAAAACTTTGAAATGGAACAGATTGTCGCATGCAATTGCAAAGGCCATGCGATGGATAGCCTGCCCCTTGCAGCAACTTTTAAAGACTGCTTAGTTATGTATATTTTATAGCCCAAAACATTAGCCCCAAAATAGCACCTTATATTATTACCCAACCTTTCTGGTTTTAAGGAGTATAGGTATAGCTGCTTCACATTTTGGCTCACTCCCCACTGTAAGTGATCTGTAACTGAATTTGTCTTTCCATTTTCCTTTAGGGTGGGGGGCACCCCCCCTCTAATAAACTTCCAACAAATCTCAGGGTTCGGTGAAGAGTCACCTCATGCTCCGATTTCTTTTCAGTAAAAAAAATTACCAACAATTAGTATTTAAACTCGAATTGAAATCCACAAATAAATTGTTTGTCTTGAATTGAGATACTAGTGATTAGTGATATATGTATGTAGTGTTCAGGGTGATCGTGCGTCCATTGAGAAATCTAATTTTTTTTGTATTTATTGTCTGTTTTATTAAAATTTTAAAATTAATATATATATATATATATTCATCTTGAAAAATATTTGTAAGTCCCCTATATATGACAGTGATAAACACACCCCTGGGCGAGCTAGGGTCCTATACTTCCTTTATATGGTTTGATTAGCTTTACCTCTGTGAAAAGGTCAAGGTTTTATGAGACGATTGTTTTTAAAACAGTACAAGCCCCCGCCCCAAAATGAAGCAAAAAAGCTAACCCTAAACAGAGGGATTGCATGAACAGAAAAAGTTATACACAGAATATATCGTACAAGTTATGAAATGGAATTGCACAATCCAAGGGATCGCCCGCCCCTATGGCCTAAACCCTAACCCTGTCACCCTTAATACGAGCTAGTTTGGATTTTCATGTATATGATTAAAGCGTTTTAAGTAACTGGACGAGGGATAATCTAAACGATGGAGCAAAAAAAAAGTTACAAAATTTGCAATCCCATTGTTTGCGCTCTCAATGTTCCCACAAAGCAACAAGGCATAAGCTGGAACAGTGGCCCATCTGGTGTGTTTTTTTTAAGGGGAGGGGTGATTTTCTTGTCTCTCCACCGTAAACAATGATTACAAAATCTTCAAAACCAGTACTCGTCATCAGTCCCAACAGTGTTTGGCATTTTCCTCATCTCATCGTTGATAGCAAAAGGAATGTCGGAGAAAAGGGTGGGCAAAAACCAAATAAATAAATAATGATTATAATGTGTAAAAAAGGTAGAGTTAATACAACAGATGTGAAATGTTTTTTTTTTACCCACCATGGTTTTGGTCCCAGTCGTGCCTTTCTATTAGGAACAGACAAATTTTGGGGTTTCATTCGAGTAGGTCTTATCCTTGAATAATGATGCCTTTGATGATCATATATATGGTGCATGTTCTTCCCCATTGAGTCAAGGGACTTTATGGTGGGACTGTTGGATGAATTAACGACAATAACTTGAGTCTTTCTAAGCATAACTTTTACAGTACGACCATTGCAGCATACAGTGCAATGGTTATTTCATTAGACCTCTTTTTTAATTTTCACATCAGGCTGGGTTTATTCTTATTCAAGATCTTTTATTTACATTTTATTTTGATTTTTTTAATTAAATGTTTAACATAGTATTTATTATTTAATATTATATTTGTACTTTTAAATATCTAATAAATATATTGATTTTATAATGAATATCTTGGGTAAAGTACACAAATGATCCTTGACTAAAGGATATTGCTTTATTGGGTCATTGATTATTAAAAGTTACAAAATAGTCCTCTAACTATAGAGAGTTATTTTGTTGAGTCTCTCGACTATTAAAAATTGCAAAATGGCCACTCAACTATTCATTATGTTCCAAACTCGTTTTTTCTGTTAAAAAAGTAACGATCATCTGAGCTGGCGTTAACATATTGACCGAGATATGATAATCATTTGAGATTATGAGATCAAATTTTATCATATTCTAGTAAGCAAATTAACGTACAGATCAGACTGTAGTCAAAATTTTAACAGAAAAAAACGAGTTTGAAACATAATTAATAGTCGGTGACCATTTTGTAACTTTTAAAGTCATGGGACACAAACCAACTTACCTCTGTGGTTAAATGAATTGTTTTTGTTCCTAAAGGTCAAAAGTTCGAGCACCAATGACTGCAAGCAAGGTGATTGAACGTTCATTGTCAAATGATTGATAGTATTTAGAACATATACTACTTTGTAATCACGTTAGCTTAATCAAAATATAAATAAAAAATAAAGTCAAGGGATTCAACAAAGTAACTCCCTATGATCAAAGAATCATTTCGTAACTTTTAATAGTAAAGAGACTCAATAATATAGTATCCTACAGTCGAGGGGCTATTTGTGTACTTTACCCAAATTTTTGAACTAGTATTGTTGTAGTATATTGATATTTAGATTAGCACGGTTAATAAATGCCAAAACAATCAATAAAAATTTAGGATGAATTATGTGTTTAGTACCTAAACTATAAGATTTGGTATGTTTCAGTACATAAACTTTCATTTTTTTCAAAACCATGCTTAAAGTTTAGTTTTTGTTTCATTTCAGTACACTTGTTCAAAATTTAACGTTGAGTTTTGAAAAAAAAAATGAAAGTTAAGGTACTAAAACGGACTAAAACTGATAATTTAGGTACTAATCGCGTTAAGTTTTTTAATGGAGGGATACTAAAATGAAACATAAACTAAACGTTAGATGTTATTTTGAAAAAATTAAAAATTTAGATATTACAACATATCAAAAATGATAGTTTAGGTGTTAAATCCGTAGTTTACTAAAAAAATTATATGTACTGTAATAATGCATGGAATGATAATTAAGTGTTAGTGTACTGCATTGAATATTTTGTCAAAAATATACGTACCGCATTAGATGTTGTGTCAAGATACAATATCATATTAAACAATCCATAAAAGTGCAATTATCAAATATAATATTATCACAATTTTAATATATATATATATATATATATATATATATATATATATATTAAAAAATTATCAAAGTTTGAGTTTCATTAGAAATTTCAAATGTAAATAATACTTTAAATATTTTATGTATCTAACTACATGTCTTGACTTTAAATTGAATTAATATATGATAAATTTTACTCTTAATATTTACAATTTTTTAGTTTGAACATTGCTATTTTTGAGTAAAATCTGACTCTAAATATAATATCCCAAATTTTGGACTAGTAAATGGAATGTAAAAATTTGAAAGTTTGGGACTAAAGTATAAAATTGTCAAAGTTCAATGACTAAAAATGTACATTTTCAAAAATTATATTTTGGGTATGTAAATAAGTATTTCAGCATAATAAAATTATTATAGTGGTTTTAAAATTTTGATATGGAATTTGCATAAAAGTTTATTAAAGGATAAAGATCGGAAAGATATTCATATAGTCGGATCGAATCGAAAGTCTATAAAAATTTGAAGGAATGTAGATTTGGGTTTAAAATTTATATGGATATTTTGAATTAGTGGAATTTAAGTTGGATTGGTGGAATTTGGTGAGAATTGCACTATAAAGTGAAATAGTACAATTTAGTGACTAAATTGAAATTTTAGAAAATTAGTTAAAAAGGGAAATTGATAGATAAGGTTTTTATAGTTATTTAAGAATATTAAAGTGTTGCGAGTCTGCTTCGTTTGGAGTGCATTAATTAGTTTCGTTAGTTGCATTTAGACATTAATAGTATGGCGAACCGGATTCATATTTTTTTTACTATAATTAATTTGGTTGATTCAAGGAGTTGTCTTTTGATGATAATATGTTGGTATGATAAGAACTACGTTAGTTCATGATACGGCAACCATGACAATGGTGTTGTATATGAAATTTGAATCCTTTATTGTTAAATTTCTGCTAATTTTGTTGAAATGGGAAATTGATTAACGTGTAGATGTGATCGTAACCAAGAGTAAAACGAAATAAAAACGAAGGATGTAGTACAAAGTAAAAGGAAAAGCGATAGTAGCATTATAGAGTAGTGAGGCAACATGTGAGTACAATTAGCTTTTTAATAAGATAATACGAGGAAGACTTGCGATGAATCAGCAGTTGTAATTGAACATATATTTTATTAAGTTGTTTTATTTCATAGTATATGATTGTTTTTTGTATGAACTGCCCAAAACAATAATTATGATATTTTATTTGAATCGAACATATGAATATTTTAATATGCAAAATAATATATGATTTTTAATTAGACAATTGTATGTAAGTGAGAGCAATGGTACAATTGACATAACTTATTGCATTTTACGAGTACTACTATTATTAGCAGTTTCGACTGTATATTGGGCCCTCACTCATATTACTCACGTACCATAGATTTCTCATAATAGTACAATAGACAATGATATGAATTGAAATAGAATAGTATGAATTTAAGATATAGTTTAAGTAAAGCCTTTTAATAATTGTTTTTGTTATTCTTATATTATTTTATGCATGATTTGTCTAAATGATGTTTTTATACACAATTGTTTATTTTATAT